GTCAAACTATTCACAAACTCTGTTACCAACTCCCTCTTCCACTATTGTTTTCTATCCCCTCCATAGTTTTCACTATAGTTTCCCCTCCCACTCCCACTCACTCCCACTTATTTTATGTTACGTCTGTGAGGGTTGTCCCTTGCATGACATTGGCTTATATTACTTGATTTATTATATTTATTAAGATTATTGCTTTCTACCTAAGGTGGTGGGCTTAATGCAATGCTTTCTCTCCCTCACACACACACATCCATATTAGCAAACGGACCTTTAGATACATGACTTGCATTGAAAATACATTAGTGGCCATGTATAAGCATTGGTGCTGTCACACACCTTTAACACACCAATGCATTGTATACTATAGCGTATGTTAAATGTGTGTGATATGTGTTTGAGACTGGGTAATGTCGGCCTTCTTAGCTAATGTTAAATCCCATTGAAAACAAACCTAAAGTCGTTGACTTGCGCTTGCGCTCTAAACAACTGCATGTATTTATTCTTGCGCTAATACATACATTCAATGTATTGCATTGTGTGATGCAATGTTCATACGAGCAGAGTGGGTTATGATAGGCTAAACTGATTGAGCGCGCCAGTTTTAAATGGGCTGATGAACTCGTATTTAATAAAATAAACTTCTAGCAATTAATTATCAGTATTGATATTATTAATATTAACATTAATAAATATAAAATCGCGTTTGGTTAATTTGTAAATAATTTATTAAATAATTTTATCACATTATTTAGTAATGCTAGAAATTAGTTTATTTTATTTAAATTAAATATGTATAAATTAGCCAAGTATTAAATAAATAAATAATTTATAGTGGTGGTAGGGTAGCGTGCGAGAGATCCGCGAGCAGCACCTGGAGGTTTTTCAGTTTAGCCTCTTCAAATGGCAGTTTGTTAATGGCCTTGTACAATTTCGGGAATTCAGCAGTCATAAAGTTTTTTATCTAATTAATAGCAATAAATAAAAAATATTATTATCATTCTGTAAATATAAAAGTTAATTTTTAATAACATAATTAAAATTATGTAATTTACCCTGAGGTGAAACGCTGTCCAGACTGGATGGGAAGCGATGGCCATTTCGTGATCGAGTGATTCCAGAATAAACTTTTCAGTTTGTTGAATTTTACCAAGCAACTCTGTGGTTGAACCTGGTACATTCAGTGGAGTATTCAACCGGATTTTGTCCAATCGTTTGCTCATATAATTAAAGCCGTGGACTTCACCAATGAATTGTGCGGTCACTCGCTCTCTATCAGTCTCGTTACCGATAGCTTTAAACTGGTCGAACACCCATGGTAGGGTTGCCACTACAAAGTCCTTAACATCTCCGTAGAACTCTATGGGTACAGTCAAGCCCTGCTTTTTGTATCGTTTCTCTGCCGTTTTCATTATCTGTCCGATGGGCTCAACCAATGTATAAGCCCTCAGTTTGACGGCATCGGTGTTCGCCTGTTCTCCGTAATCAATAGGGTTTTCCTCCGCAATCACTAATTGAAAAGCAAATTTTAGGTTAAATATGAACTGGTTAATTTAATTAATTTAAGTATACAATACCTTGCACAATAATCATGCAAATGCCAAACAAAATAGTGATAGTTGTATTCATTTTTATTAATTTAATTTAGTAATTATTACTATTAAATCCACTGATGTATGATTTTGAATGAAAATCTGTTTAAACCAATGTGCTTATATACTTTTAGTTACATACCTGTAATCACAAAGTGCACCTAAAATGCAATTTATTATTCTAGCAGTTTTAATTAATGATTATATTCACCGCCGTATAATTTGGCATGAGGCAATTTGTCTTTCTTACCAGGATATGATTATATACATATGATGCACATAATTCATATAATTTATATAAAATATGCACTATGTAAAGTACGCACTAAATTTATGCACTTTATACTCAAATTTATAAAAATAAATTTACGAAAATTATTAAAATATTTGAATATAAACTCATTTTAATCAAATGTATCATTAATATAGAGAGAGATAGTTTGATTGTTATATTTATAATTGTAAGAAAAATGTACTTTTAAAACTTTACAACTAGCCACAATTACAATATATTATTTATAAATTGGAAAACTCTTTTATTATAATTACAATAAGGGTCTAATTTTATGCACTATAAATGCATAAAAACGGATAAAGTAAAAGTTTAATTAGATCTATATAAGTAATTAATGTAAAAGTATCTAACTTTTACAATTTTATTTTTATTGTCTATTTAGAATAAAGAATCAGAATCTACGTCTCTACTATGTAACAGATTACATAATTAATGGCTACAAAATTGCATTGAAAAATATTAATACAAACCCTCATAGTTCGAGCATGCGATCGACAATTAATCACGGTTATAACAACGGATATTAATTTAATTTCAAATGTGGTTGATCGGAATTCTAAGCCACATGTTTTATGTTTAGATAAACGTAATCAATTAAAATTAATAATATTCTATTTGATATACTAAAAATTGTAACTATTTATACTTTGTTTAACGTTAAATGTTTTAGGTATAAATACAAGAGACAGTTCATCTATTTATTTAATTACAACTTTAGATAGATTTTAAAAAAAGTATACATAAAACGTATATTAAATATAATAATGTCTAAAATTCAAGTAATATTATTTGGTCTTGTGTTCGCGGTTACTTTTGTTCATGGTAAGTTTAATTAAATATTTTTTATTTGACCAACAAATAATTTATTGAGATTCTCTCTCTCTCTCTCTCTCTCTCTCTCTCTCTATGAAATAAATACTAACTAGTAACTAACTTTGTCTATTTGTCCCAATAGCTCAAGATCCAAACTTCAATATATTTCCGGATCAATTCAATGAACAGATCCACGAGAAAGACGTTTTGGCTTTTGTCAACACTCTGGCCGATGAGGCGAACGGCTATCTCAAGAATGCTCAACAGAAATACAACTCTCAGGGTTTGAACGTGGTCAGCCAGTTCTACCAAGATGCTATGGATGCGTTCAGACCTATTCTACCATGGGCGTTTAGCGAATTAGAAAAGATTAACATCTACCCACTCCAGCACTCAATCACCACCATAATTGTTGGTCAGGTTTACGACTTTGTATACATGTTGGAGCGTTTGACTGAACTCCGAGCTGTTAAGCCCCGGTCGGTCACCGGCAATGAGCACAACCTTATCAACCGATTGAAAACTCTGGAGAGTCGAGTCGTGTCCGCCATCGAGGGCGCAAAGAAAAGAGGAATTATTCACGTGCCTACCTTTATGTACCAGTATTATGATAAGGTAATTTATATTCAGACAATCCTTTTAATTAACAGATTAATTGTTTTTTATTACCTCTGATTAAATTTAGATTAATGCCTTCTTGAACGCTGAGTTCCCCAAATTAAATCAAGCGATCGGTAATTTACCCTCAGCTGCACTCAGACAACAAATTATTCAACAACTAATTATCGATCTAACACACTTGACTCAAATGCCCTTTGTCGTTTAATTTGTTTACTCTAATGATAGATTAAGTTGTAGTAATTAGCCAATGTATTAAATATAATTTTATGTAATTTATTAATTTAAATATTAATCAATAAATTATAACATTTTTATTTGCATATAAATTAATATATCACTTTTTTAAATAATATTAATTTGGAAAATTACTCATTGGTATAATTTGCAAAATGCTCGGCTCATATTAAAACATTTAAAATAACTAACTACTTTTTATCTTGTTCAAGAAAATGTTATAATTTTAGCTGTATACAACAATGATAGAGTACAATTCCCTCCACACGTAAAATTTATATACTCTATTTTATGCAATGCCTGTATATTATTTATATTTATAGTTTAGTGTTAAAGTATTATTGTAAATAATTAATTAGATAATCGGGAGATTTACAATATGTGCAATATACTAATAAATAGTAATTTAAAATAAATTATTAAACTTTTTTAAAATTTTAAAATACAATAAAAATTCAACAGTTTTTAAGACAATAAATTATGCCACATTGTAATTTTTATTTTAAAAATCCATTTTATAATAAATAATTTATTATAAAATGGATTTTTAAAATAAAAATTACAATGTGGCATAATTTATTGTCTTAAAAACTGTTGAATTTTTATTGTATTTTAAAATTTTAAAAAAGTTTAATAATTTATTTTAAATTACTACTTATTAGTATATTGCACATATTGTAAATCTCCAGATTATCTAATTAATTATTTACAATAATACTTTAACACTAAATTATAAATATAAATAATATACAGGCATTGCATAAAATAGAGTATATAAATTTTACGTGTGGAGGGAATTGTACTCTATCATTGTTGTATACAGCTAAAATTATAACATTTTCTTGAAAAAGATAAAAAGTAGTTAGTTATTTTAAATGTTTTAATATGAGCCGAGCATTTTGCAAATTATACCAATGAGTAATTTTCCAAATTAATTTTATTTAAAAAAGTGATATATTAATTTATATGCAAATAAAAATGTTATTATTTATTGATTAATATTTAAATTAATAAATTACATAAAATTATATTTAATACATTGGCTAATTACTACAACTTAATCTATCATTAGAGTAAACAAATTAAACGACGAAGGGCATTTGAGTCAAGTGTGTCAGATCGATAATTAGTTGTTGAATAATTTGCTGTCTGAGTTCAGCTGAGGGTAAATTACCGATCGCTTGATTTAATTTGGGGAACTCAGCGTTCAAGAAGGCATTGATCTAAATTTAATCAGAGGTAATAAAAAACAATTAATTTGTTAATTAAAAGGATTGTCTGAATATAAATTACCTTATCATAATACTGGTACATAAAGGTAGGCACGTGAATAATTCCTCTTTTCTTTGCCCCCTCGACGGCGGCCACGACTCGACTCTCCAGAGTTTTCAATCGGTTGATAAGGTTGTGCTCATTGCCGGTGACCGACAGGGGCTTAACAGCTCGGAGTTCAGACAAACGCTCCAACATGTATACAAAGTCGTAAACCTGACCAACAATTATGGTGGTGATTGAGTGCTGGAGTGGGTAGATGTTAATCTTTTCCAACTCGCCAAACGCCCAAGGTAGAATAGGTCTAAACGCATCCATTGCATCTTGATAGAACTGGCTGACCACGTTCAAACCCTGAGCGTTGTATTTTTGTTGAGCATTCTTGAGATAGCCGTTCGCCTCATCGGCCAGAGTGTTGACAAAAGCCAAGACGTCTTTTTCGTGGATCTGTTCATTGAATTGATCCGGAAATATATTGAAGTTTGGATCTTGAGCTATTGGGACAAATAAACATGGTGAGTTGTTATGTATTTTTTTTAATGAGAGAGAGAGAGAGAGAGAGAGAGAGAGAGAGA